TCAGAGTTGTGTTTTTTGTTTGCATTACGACTGCAGGTATTGTGGTCTATGCAAACATGACTCATTGTTTAAAGGTGTCAGTTTTGTTGCCAGATAGAAGGGTAAAAAATCATTTATCATATTTTTACTGGCAAATGAGGTTCCAATGGTGATTGTGTGCGGCTTAGGATTTCTCCCACGATTACTCATGGCCCGACTGGTATCACGTCCGAAGCGTGTTTTTATCTCGGTGGTAATTTGTCCGGGAGAAGGAACGCCGCGCGCGCGACCCCGTGCCCACTCCTGCCTCAATGGACGATAAACGTGTTCAACTTTGTTTTTGTTTGCTACTGCTACTGCTACTACTGCTGCTACTGCTGCTACTGCTGCTGCTGCTACTGCTGCTACTACTGCTGCTGCTTCTGCTGCTGCTGCTGCTACTGCTGCTGCTTCTGCTGCTGGCTGCTGCTGCTGTTGATGGCTGCTGGCTGCTACTTCTGCTGCTACTGCTGCTGCTTATGCTGCTACTGCTGCTGCTTCTGCTGCTGCTGCTGCTGCTTCTGCTGCTACTGCTGCTGCTTCTGCTGCTACTGCTGCTGCTTATGCTGCTACTGCTGCTGCTTCTGCTGCTGCTGCTGATGGCTGCTGCTGCTTCTGCTGCTACTGCTGCTGCTTCTGCTGCTTCTGCTGCTGCTTCTGCTGCTGCTGCTGCTGCTACTGCTGATGGCTGCTTCTGCTGCTGCTACTGCTGATGCTGCTTCTGCTGCTGCTGCTACTGCTGCTGCTACTACTTTTGCTGCTACTACTGCTGCTACTACTGCTGCTGCTTCTGCTGATGGCTGCTGCTACTGCTGCTGATGGCTGCTGCTGCTGCTTCTGCTGCTGCTGCATTGACAGTGGTGAACAAGCACAGACCAACAACAGCAACACAACACACTCCACACATTCGTCAACAACATCTCCGCGGCCATGAAAGAACAAAAAAACTAACTAGACGTTTCAGGCAATGGCCCTTCACAGCACGTAGAGGCTAGAGACGTAGTCTCCGACAGGTGACCATGAAACGCTTTATCATACACCGGTTCTTTCGATCGATCAGTGGGTTGCGTTTATTTGTTCTCTATATACAGTGAGGGGAAAAAAATTAACCCGTAAAAACAAAGTTTTTCACTATAAATCCTTTATATGCGTGGCGGCTAGAGTCCTCTCGTCCTCTGGCTTGAGATAGCTGTCACCAATGGGTCAGATGATTGCCTGCCACCATTAAGCAATTGGTAATTAAATATAATTTATTTTTTCCTAAAAAGTGTAAAATTTTGGATTTTTTTTCACGAAAATACATTGTCACGCACAACGAGTCTGTGTGCAAAATGTCAGCTCGATTGGATCACGGGAAGTGGGTTAAAAAACGACCGAAAGATTTGCACGGTCGTAAGCGCGCAAGCAAGCAAGCAAGTGAACTTAATATAAAGGATTTAAAAAGTATTTGATCCCCTGCTGATTTTGTAAGTTTGCTCACTGACAAAGAAATGATCAGTCTATAATTTTAACAGTAGGTGTATTTGAACAGTGAGAGACAGAATAACAACAACAACAACAAAATCCAGAAAAACGCACGTCAAAAATGTTATACATTGATTTGCATTTTAATGAGGGAAATAAGTATTTGACCCCCTCTCTATCAGAAAAATTTCTGGCTCCCAGGTGTCTTTTACACAGGTAACCAGCTGAGATTAGGAGCACACTCTTAAAAGGGAGTGCTCCTAATCTCAGCTTGTTACCTGTATAAAAGACACCTGTTCACAGAAGCAATCAATCAATCAGATTCTAAACTCTCCACCATGGCCAAGACCAAAGAGCTCTCCAAGGGTGTCAGGGACAAGATAGTAGACCCTCACTGTATACTGATCACAGGTGGACACAAACTAGATTCCAACTCAGCAAGGTGCTTGCCCAAAGCACCCCCGACAGCTTCCCAACTCGCTCCAGTCTCAAATGTTTTGTTTTATTTTTAACAACAGCAAAGACAAAAATTGGCACAAAATAACAGCAATCTGTTCATTTTTATTGGAAATGCTGCCCCGGGGAAAAATTGGCTTTGGGCCATCGTGCAAATTAGGTCTTTGTGTGTGTGTGTGTGCACGCGCGTGCATATTTACTAGAGCAGCCGTATCTTGTGTTGGGAGAAGCCGCCGATTTTGGCGTGACCCGATTTTTTGTTTTTCGCGTTTTCTCTCTCCGCTGTGTCGAGAGCGCGACCTGCGACACTTTCCCCAGCGTCTGCGATGCCGTCGAATTATCCGCCCTCCTCGGCAAACGGTGGCGAAGGTGCCAAGAAGGCGTGCGAATCGTTTCGTCGCTCTGGCAAAACACGGTTCCCACCCCTCTCGCCTCGGACCAGAGGTCGCAACCAGGTACCCGATACCCGTACCCTACCCGATACCCGGCTACCCGTACCCAGCCGGGTACGGGTAGGCCGTGAGTCACTGGTGAGTCACCGTTTGTCATTCATTTCGGGTAGGGTACGGGTAGGGAACGGCTTCCCGTACCCGGCCGGGTACGGGTACGGGTAGACCGTGAGTCACTGGTGAGTAGCCGTTTGTCACTCAATTCGGGTAGGGTACGGGTACGGGTACCCGGCCGGGTATCGGGTACCCATTTGCGACCCTGGTGCGGCCGGGTACGGGTAAGGAATCAAAACCCGTTTTCGACCTCTAGCCTCGTACTTTCTACCCGCGCGCCGTTACAGACGCAGGGGTTAATTGGCTGCGAATGAATAGTTTTTTCCCCACCACTTTTCCGAGACGTGGCTGCAAGTCGGCGGGGCTTGGCGGGGCGTCCCCCCGTTCGCCGTATAGAATCTCGGGAGCGGTGCAAGCGGGCCCGCCGATGATTTTACCCGTCGCTCACCGCGGGGAAGCGACGTGACCGCTGGTGGCAAAACCGTCTTGCCCCCCTCGCCCCCCCGCCCCCCCCGCCCCCCCCCACCCTCGCACGTGGCCTTTGTGGGAACGTCGGTGCCGGTAAAGTTTTTGGTTTTATTTCAGCTTGTCTGCCCAGTTCCGATCGTGTACGCGTACATCTTCGGAAACGTGAACAGGCGAAGTGATGGTTCACAGACCGTTGGCAATCTACTAGCGGATAAAGCCCCCTCCCTCCTTCCCTCCATCCCTCCCCTCTCTACCCTCTTTAACACAGCAGTGCAATCCTCTCGTGCATCTCAACACTTTTTCGCTCCCTCCCTCTCCTCCCTCTCCCCTTTCTCCCCTCCCTCCCCTCTCACCCGCCTCTTGACGACATCAGCAATTGCCCTCCAGCATTGCAAATTTCAACTTTGGTGTCTGTCCTCCCATCCACCCCACGCACGCCACCCCACCCACCCCAAGCCACCCACCCCACCCACCCCACCACACGCACCCCACCCCACGCCACGCTGGCTGAAAAATAAGTGAATGCCTTGGTACGCCTTGCCTGGTGAGGATATGGATGGTTGGTTTGCCTTTCTTGCATTTTGCGCTCCTCAGCCTTCGGTATAGTTGGAGTTTGTGTGTCTCTCTCTCATCATCATCACGGTGGCTGGGAGATGTTAACTACCTCGTCTGGTATGCAGGAGGTCGTGGGTTCGATCCCGACCCTGACGACACCTGCTGTATATCTGGAATCTGCGTGTCTCTCTCTCATCATAATCATCATGACGGTGGCTAGGAGATGTTAACTACCTCGCCTGGTATACAGGAGGTCGTGGGTTCGATCCCGACCCCGACGCCTGCTGCTGTTTATTCGGAGTTTGCGTGTGTCTCTATCGCCGCGGTCGCGTGAATTTTTCCTCCCCGTTCTCCCCTTCGCGTTCAGAATCGGCGTCACGCGTTCAGAGCGTTCGGCCGCAGTGAATGTCCTGAAGAGCCGTGACGTAGCCCGTTCGGGGGCCTTTCACCTTGGTGCGATGAAATGAAATAAGAAAGTTTCGATACTTTTAGTTGACAAAAATTCACGATCTCAGTGACTCGGCGCGCAGAGGCGGTAGTCATAACCACCCACCCTCCCACCCTCCTTCCCCCCCGCCACTGAACCACTCAATCAGTCACCGCCATCACTTTGCTGGACGTAATAACATAATGTGCCCGGCACATGAAGTGTCGTAATGGCCCTCCGAGTTCGCAATCGCATTATTATTTCCCTTCTACGTGAGTTTACCGACGAAAGAACCAAGAAGATGAATCCCTGCAGTCACGAAAGAAGCTTTACATCGAAGTTTTATTATGTTTTATTTTTATTATTTTATTACTTCCCTTCTACATGACTTTACCGAAAGAACCAAGAAGATGAATCCCTGCAGTCACGAAAGCTTTACATCGAAATTTTATTATGTTTTATTTTTATTATTTCATTACTTCCCTTCTACGTGACTTTACCGAAAGAACCAAGAAGATGAATCCCTGCAGTCACGAAAGAAGCTTTACATCGAAAGGTAAACAAGCCGACAGCGTACGCGTGCTTTGCGCGGCCGCATTGGCCCTCGGCCACAGCAAGCGGAGATTCCAGCTGCTGGAGGAGTTCCGCGGGGACTCCTCCAGCCAGCGCGTGCCACAGTTCCCGGCCTTCGTAGCCACCACCGCCGCTGCTGCTCGCTGACAACCCTTGCCCCGACGCTCTGTCGAGGCCCTACGGGGGATCTTTGTCTTTGCGCGGCGTGAGAATCCGGCGTGGAAGTTCGATTCCCCGCCGCCACCAGCAGCACCGCTGATGGCGATCATCCCGAACACCGGTTCCCTCGCTGAGTCGACTCAACGACATTTCGTGATTCATGCCAAATCTAAACGTCGGCGCTGGGGGGTATGGAGACAAACGGCGGCCCGGGCGTGGTGCTCCCCCCCTCCCGGTGTGTGCCACAGTGCCGGCCTTCATCGGTGCTTTACCGCTATCGGTGGCACTCCACTGGGGGGGGTGAGTAGGCTTCGGCCCCGGTGCCGTGCCCGTCCGTAACGTTCTCTCTCTCGTCTCCTCCCCCCGACCGCCCGCAGTCTCGGACTCCGGGAGCTTGCCGCGCGAGCCGGACTCACAGCCGAGGCGCCGCGGCGTTCCCGGCGTCTTCCACTTCCCTCCGGAGCACCACGGCGCCGGCGAGCGCCGGTTCGGCGGCGGCGGCGGCACCGGCCGTGGCGGAGAGACGCGTCCCGCCGGTCACGACTTGCCGCCGCGCTTCCAGCGGGAGAGGCGGCCGCCCGCGGAAGGCCGGCACTGGGTGGGCGAGGGGCGGGGGATGCAGCTGCACCAGCCGCAGCAGCAGCAGCAGCAGCAGCATCAGCAGCAGCAGCATCAGCAGCATCAGCAGCAGCATCAGCAGTGGCACCGCGGACGTCCCGGCAGCGCGGAGGAGGAGCGAGGGCAGAGCCCCCGGAGGAGGCGGACTCATCGCGGGGGCGACGACGGTGACGACGGCGACGGCGACAGGAGGTACGTACCACGTGATACGTACCACGTGATACGTACCACGTGATACGTACCATGTACCACGTGATACGTACCACGTGATACGTACCACATGATACGTATCACGTGTCACGTACCACGTCCAGCATACCACGTGATACGTACCATGTACCACGTGATACGTACCACGTGATACGTACCACGTACAATGTACCACGTACCACGTGATACGTACCATGTACCACGTGATACGTACCACGTGATACGTACCACGTACAATGTACCACGTACCACGTGATACGTACCACGTGATACGTACCACGTCCAGCGTACCACGTGATACGTACCATGTACCACGTACCACGTGATACGTACCATTTACCACGTGATACGTACCACGTGATACGTACCACATGATACGTATCACGTGTCACGTACCACGTCCAGCATACCACGTGATACGTACCATGTACCACGTGATACGTACCACGTGATACGTACCACGTACAATGTACCACGTACCACGTGATACGTACCATGTACCACGTGATACGTACCACGTGATACGTACCACGTACAATGTACCACGTACCACGTGATACGTACCACGTGATACGTACCACGTCCAGCGTACCACGTGATACGTACCATGTACCACGTACCACGTGATACGTACCATTTACCACGTGATACGTACCACGTGATACGTACCACGTGATACGTACCACATGATACGTATCACGTGTCACGTACCACGTCCAGCATACCACGTGATACGTACCATGTACCACGTGATACGTACCACGTGATACGTACCACGTACAATGTACCACGTACCACGTGATACGTACCATGTACCACGTGATACGTACCACGTGATACGTACCACGTACAATGTACCACGTACCACGTGATACGTACCACGTGATACGTACCACGTCCAGCGTACCACGTGATACGTACCATGTACCACGTACCACGTGATACGTACCATTTACCACGTGATACGTACCACGTGATACGTACCACGTACAATGTACCACGTACCACGTGATACGTACCACGTGATACGTACCATGTGATACGTACCACGTGATACGTACCACGTGATACGTACCACGTGATACGTACCACGTACAATGTACCACGTACCACGTGATACGTACCACGTGATACGTACCACGTGATACGTACCATGTACAATGTACCACGTACCACGTGATGCGTACCACGTGATACGTACCATGTACCACGTGATACATGACACGTACCACGCACCACGCGCCACATCTTCATCGTGCCGACATTAATAACTGAACACTCGCACGTTGATTTGGACGACGCGTCACGTCGATTCTAAATGCGGAGGGAAAATCCCCGCGACCACGGAGACAGACAGAGAGAGAGAGAGACACGCAGGCTCCAAATGTACAGCAGACGTCAGTGTCCGGGCCAAACCCACGACCTCCTGTATACCAGGCGAGGTAGTTAACATCTCCGTGCCACCGTGATGATGATGAGAGAGAGAGAGACACGCAAACTCCAAATATACAGCAGGCGTCAAGGGTCGGGATCGAACCCACGACCTCCTGCATACCAGGCGAGGTAGTTAACATCTCCGTGCCACCGTGATGATGAGAGAGAGACACGCAAACTCCAAATATACAACAGGCATTGTCAGGGTCGAGATTGAACCCACGACCTCCTGTAGACCAGGCGAGAGAGATAACATCTCACCGCTGCTCCCCTGCGTAACAACAATGAAGACAAAGATCCCCCATTTAGCCAAAACAGACTGTAGGGGCAAGTGCTCTTAGCAGGTAGCTTACCTATGAAGGCCGGATACGGTACACGAGGGGGTGAGTGGCCAGCACCACGCCCGACCGCCTTTGTCTCACCAGTGGCGATGTTCATACATCATACCGGGTACTCATTTAAGGCTGAGTCGACCTAGGGGAGGCTCAGGACAGGTTTGAATGATCGTCACCGGTGTTGGCCGTGAGCGGGAATCGAACTCGGGTGGCCAGGTTTGTAGCGCAGCGACACACACAGACACACAGACACACACACACAGACACACACACCACTCACGCACTCCCGCGCACACACACACAGACACACACACCATTCACGCACTCCCGCGAGCACACACACACACAGACACACACACACACAGACACACACACAGACACACACACACACGGACACACAGACACACACACAGACACACACAAACACACACCACTCACGCACTCCCGCGAGCACACACGCGCACACTGACACACACACAGACACAAATGTCCCCCGTATAGCCTTTAATAGACTGTTGGGGCAAGTGCTGTTAGCGAGCACCTATGAAGGCCGGAACGGTACACGAGGGGGTGGGTGGCCAACACCACGCCCGGCCGCCTTTGTCTCCCTAGTGGCAATGTTTACACACCGCACCAGGTACTCATTTGAGGCTGAGTCGACCTAGGGGAGGCCCGGGACCGGTTCAGATAATCGTCACTGGTGTTGGCCGTGAGCGGGAATCGAACCCGTGTCGCCGGGTTCATAGCGCAGCGCGCTAACCGCTACACTACCGCACACACACAGACACACACACAGACACACACAGACACACACACAGACACACACAGACACACACACCACTCACGCACTCCCGCGAGCACACACACACACAGACACACAGACAGACACACACACCACTCACGCATTCCCCAGTGCACACACGCGCGTGCACCGACACACACAGACACACACACAGACACGCACACACACACACAGACACACACACCACTCACGCACTCCCGCGCGCCCACTGACATATGCACACTTAACATGCACGGGCGCTTCGCACACAAATGAGATTTTTTTTTTTAAAACACTAAAACCCTTTTTATTTTCGCCACTGAACGTAGAGCCCAGATATCGCACCGATTTTTTATTTCACTTCTAGAATTTGAAGCTTTCGTTATTGCAAGTCTTCATATTCTTGGGTTTTTTCGGTAAAGTCACGTAGGTAAAAAATAAAAATTAATAAAAGTTATTTATTTTATTTCTGATTTCACGTCCCACAGCCGCGGACCAAAGCAGCCGAACCCGTTGAGGACGTTCATTTAATTTAGTTTCGCGTCTGAATTTTCTGTCTCTCTGAAGAGCTTTTGCGCGAAAAAAGCTCCAGCCGCAAACACGCGTGCATTTGTCGCGATGGTGCTGCCGCGAACCCCGGCCACCCGAGTTCGACTCCCCGCTCACGGCCGACGCCGGCGACGAATCATCCCAACCGGTCCCCTAGGTCGACTCGGCCTCAAATCCGCACCCGGTGCGGTGCGCCAGAGGTCGCAAACGGGTTTTGATTCCTTACCCGTACCCGTACCCGGCCGCACCAGGGTCGTAAACGGGTACCCGTACCCGTACCCGGCCGTACCCTACCCGTACCCGGGTACGGGTAGGGTACGGGTATCGGGTACCCTATTGCAACCTCTGGGATGAAGCCATGTTGCAGGCGCGGGTGGGTTGATTCTAGGAACTTGAATTGTGAGAAGAGACAAGACGTTGGGAAATGAGTGACAAACGGTGACTCTTTCGATTTAATAAAATAATTCTCACGACGTTTCGGCCACAACGCAAAACCAGACCTGGTTTTCACCTGAGGACGGCTGCTTGCGTTGTGGCCGAAACGTCGTGAGAATTATTTTATTATGTTTTATTTTAATTTTTTTATTACTTCCCTTCCACGTGACTTTACCGAAAGAACCAAGAAGATGAAACGGTCACTCACCAGTGACTCACGGCCTACCCGTACCCGGCCGCACCAGGGTCGCAAACGGGTACCCGGGTACGGGTAGCCGGGTATCGGGAAGGGTACGGGTATCGGGTACCCAGTTGCGACCTCTGGGGTGCGGCAAAAACATCGCCGGCGGGGAATTGCAGCGCTTGCCCCAACGGTCCGTTGCAAGTCCATCGCGGGCGGGTGTGGGTTGGGGTGTGGGTTGGGGTGTGGGGTGTGGGTTGGGGTGTGGGTTGGGGAGTGGGTTGGGGTGTGGGGTGTGGGTTGGGGTGTGGGTTGGGGTGTGGGTTGGGATGTGGGTTGGGGTGTGGGTTGTGGGTGTGGGTTGGGGTGTGGGTTGGGGTGTGGGTTGGGGTGTGGGTTGGGTGTGGGTTGGGGGGGGTTGGGGGGTGGGTTGGGGTGTGGGTTGGGGTGTGGGTTGGGGTGTGTGTTGGGGTGTGGGTTGGGGTGTGGGTTGGGTTGTGGGTTGGGGTGTGGGTTGGGGTTGTGTGGGTTGGGGTTGTGAGTGTTGGGGTGTGGGTTGGGGTGTGGGTTGGGGTGTGGGGAGTGGGTTGGGGTGTGGGTTGGGGTGTGGTTTGTGGGTGTGGGTTGGGGTGTGGGTTGGGGTGTGGGTTGGGGTGTGAGTTGGGGTGTGGGTTGGGGAGTTGGGTGGTGGGTGGGTGGGTTGGGGTGTGGGTTGGGTGTGGGTGGGGTGTGGGTTGGGGTGTGTTGGGGTGTGGGTTGGGGTGTGGGTTGGGTTGTGGGTTGGGGTGTGGGTTGGGGTGTGGGTTGGGTGTGGGTGTGGTGTGGGGTGTGGGTTGGGGTGTGGGTTGGGGTGTGGGGAGTGGGTTGGGGTGTGGGTTAGGGTGTGGGTTGGGGTGTGGGTTGGGGTGTGGGTTGGGGTGTGTGTTGGGGTGTGGGTTGGGGTGTGGGTGGGGTGTGGGTTGGGGTGTGGGTTGGGGTGTTGGGTTGTGGGTTGGGGTTGTGGGTTCGGGTGTTGGTTGGGGTGTGGGTTGGGGTGTGGGTGTGGGTTGGGGAGTGGGTTGGGGTGTGGGTTGGGGTGTGGGTTGGGGTGTGGGTTGGGGAGTGGGTTGGGGTGTTGGTTGGGGGTGTGGTTGGGGTGTGGGTTGGGTGTGGGGTTGGGGTGTGTGTTGGGGTGTGGGTTGGGGTGTGGGTTGGGGTTGTGTGGGTTGGGGTGTGGTTGGGGAGGGGGTTGGGGTGTGGGTTGGGGTGTGGGTTGGGGTGTGGGTTGGGGAGTGGGTTGGGGAGTGGGTTGGGGTGTGGGTTGGGGTGTGGGTTGGGGAGTGGGTTGGGGTGTGGGTTGGGGTGTGGGGTGTGGGTGGAGTGTGGGTTGGGGTGTGGGTTGGGGTGTGGGTTGGGGTGTGGGTTGGGGTGTGGGGTGTGGGTGTGGGTTGGGGTGTGGGTGTGTGTTGGGGTGTGTGTTGGGGTGTGGGTTGGGGTGTGCGTTGGGGTGTGTGGAGTGTATTTTGTCTCCTGTAACGTGGCGACGCTTCTCCCTGCGGCAGGCCGAGTGCGAGGCGGCCGCTGTGGGGGGGTGGGGAGGAGGAGCGGTCCGGCTGGAGTGGGGCCCAGTTGGACAGAGGCCACAGGAGCGTCAAGGTGACCTCCGTGCGTGTGAGCGTGGGAGCGTGCGTGCGTGTGTGTGTGAGAGCGTGTGTGTGAGTGTGTGAGCGTGTGTGTGTATGTGTGAGCGTGTGTGTGTGAGTGAGCGTGTGAGCGTGTGTGTGTGAGTGTGTGAGAGCGTGTGTGTGAGCGTGTGTGTGAGCGTGTGTGTGAGTGTGTGTGTGAGCGTGTGTGTGTGTGTGTGAGTGTGTGAGTGTGTGTGTGAGTGTGAGCGTGTGTGTGTGAGTGTGTGAGCGTGTGAGCGTGTGTGTGTGAGTGTGTGTGAGCGTGTGTGTGTGAGCGTGTGTGTGTGAGCGTGGGAGCGTGCGTGTGAGCGTGTGTGTGTGAGTGTGTGTGAGCGTGTGTGAGCGTGTGTGTGTGTGAGTGTGAGAGCGTGTGTGTGAGCGTGTGTGTGTGAGTGTGTGTGAGCGTGTGTGTGTGAGCGTGTGTGTGTGAGTGTGAGAGCGTGTGTGTGAGCGTGTGTGTGTGAGTGTGTGTGAGCGTGTGTGTGTGTGTGAGCGTGTGTGAGCGTGTGTGTGTGTGACCGTGTGTGAGCGTGTGTGTGTGTGAGCGTGTGTGTGTGCGTGCGTGTGTGTGTGTGTGTGAGCGTGTGTGTGACCGTGTGAGCATGTGTGTGTGACCGTGTGAGCGTGTGTGTGTGAGCGTGTGTGCGTGTGTGTGAGCGTGTGTGAGCGTGTGTGTGAGCGTGTGCGTGTGTGAGTGTGTGTGTGAGTGTGTCTGAGCGTGTGTGAGCGTGTGTGTGTGAGCATGTGAGCATGTGAGCGCGTGTGTGAGCGTATATAAGCATGTGAGCGTGTGAGCGTGTAAGCGTGTGTGTGTACGTGTGTGGCCGGGTAGCGTGCGGAGCGGTGATGCAGCAACGCGTGCGGTGATACCCGTGACCCCGCATGACCCCCCCCCCCCGCGTGACCCTGAATGACCCCGCGTGACCCCCGCGTGACCCCCGCGTGACCCCAGGGACCCTCCGTGGGGCCGAGCGACGACTTTCCCGCCCTCTGGCACAACGGAGCGGCGGGACGCGGCGGCGGCGTCGGCGTCGCCCGGCCCCCCCCGGCAACCCCAGGGCCCCCCACGGCAACCCCGGGGCCCCCCACGGTAACTCCAGGGCCCCCCACGGCAACTCCAGGGCCCCCCACGGCAACGCCAGGGCCCCCCACGGTGGAACCGACGCCCGCCAGGGCCAGGCGCACAGGACCCATCAAGCCCCCGCCGGGTCCTCGTCCACAGGGGCAGCACTTGCACGCCGGTGAGGGTCGCGGGTTTGGCGCGAAGTGGTGCTTGGGCGGTCCTGGGCCTCCCCTAGGTCGACTCGGCCTCAAATGAGTACCCAGTGTGGCGGTAGTGTAGCGGTTAGCGCCACGCTGCGCTATGAACCCGGTGACCCGGGTTCGATTCCCGCTCACGGCCAACACCGGTGACGATTATCTAAACCGGTACTGCGCCTCCCCTAGGTCGACTCAGCCTCAAATGAGTAGCTGGTGCCGTGTGAAGTAAACATCGTCACTAGGGAGACAAAGGCGGCCGGGCGTGGTGCTGGCCACCCACCCCCTCGTGTGACGTGCCGGCCTTCGTAGGATCAGCTAGCTGACAGCACTTGCCCCAACAGTCTGTTAAGGCTACACGGGGGATTTTTGTCTTTTTTGTGTGAGGAGTGGTGGCGCAACGATTAGCACATTCCCATGCGAATCCAACCACCTGAGCTCGACCAGGCAGCCACGGCTGCCATCAGTGGCGAGCGATTCCCTGAACCGGGTCCCAGATCTCTCCATAAAGTTCAAAGTTCAAAGTTCATGTATTAGGTATAGCCCTGTGAGCCATTCGGCTCTTGAATCGGGTGCAACCGCAACAAGCAAAAAAACAAAAACATGAACAAAAAACATCTTCAAGTGAATATGTGACTGAGTGCAAACAGAAAATCCAAGAAAGGACAGCAAAATATTGCGGGAAAAAAAATCACCGTACACCAACGCTGTGTGAGTTGGGTGTGAAAAACGGTAACCGAAATATGATTCGGCGGTTTCCGTTCCTCGGTTTGAAACAAAACAAAAAAAATTAACTCGTAAAAACAAAGTTTTTCACTCGAAATCCTTTATATGCGTGGCGGCTAGAGTCCTCTCGTCCTCTGGCTTGAGATGGCTGCCACCTATGGGTCAGATGATTGTCTGCCACCATTAAGCAATTGGGAATTAAATATTTAAAAACATTTCCCTAAACAGTGTAAAATTTTGGGAAAAAAATTTCACGGGAAGTGGGTTAAAAAACGACCGAAAGATTTGCACGGTCGTAAGCAAGCAAGCAAGCAAACTTAATATAAAGGATTTAAAAAGAAAACGCATCTCGGCTCTGTTTTTAAATCGCGGTTCACCAACTGTGACAAAACTAAAAAATATAGTAGTAGGTTTTTACCCTTTAAACTGGTACAAAACTGCCACCTTTATACAAGGCATCATGTTTGCAATAACCACAACACAAGCAGTCAAAATGCAAACAAAAAGAAACAACTCTGATGATGGTTATCAGAGTCGTTTCGCCTCCCTTGCCGAGAGCGTGCACCGGTGATATGGACCTGCGTCCGCTCAGCCCCCCACCACCACCCCCCCACCCATCACCAATCCCCCCCCCCACCACCCCCCCCAACACCCCCCAACCACCACCCACTCACCACCTACCCCCCCACCACCCCCCACCACCCCCCCCAACACCCCCAACCACCACCCACCCCCCCCACCACCACCCCACTCACCACCTACCCCCCCCACCACCCCACCACCACCCACTCACCACCCACCCCCCCCACCCCCCCCCACCACCACCCCCCCACCACCACCCCCCCACCACCCCCACCACCACCCCACCACCACCCACCCCCCCACCACCCACCCCCCCACCACCCCCCCACCCACCCCCCACCACCCCCCCACCACCCACTCACCACCCCACCACCCCACCCACCACCCCCCCCCACCACCACCCACTCACCATCCACCCCCCACCCACCACCCCCCACCACACCCCCCCCCACCACCCCACCACCCCACTACCACCACCACTCCCCCCACCACCCACCCACCACCCCACCACCACCACCCACCCACCACCCACCACCACCACCACCCCCCCAGGTGCCTTGGGGAAGGTGGGGAGAGGTCTGCCGCCTGCCAACGCGCCCTTTAATTGCCGCCTTTGCTCCGCGTGACTTCTCGACTTTAATAAGCGCCGCACCTCCCCCCCCTTGCCCCCAATACCCCCCCCACCCCCCCCCCCTTGCCCCCCAATACCCCCCCAATACCCCCCCACCCCCCCCCTTGCCCCTCCCCCCCGTCCTTCTTGCCCCCCCCCCTGCGTGTCTCTCGTCAATGACACCGTAGGCGACTTTGAAGGGAGATAAATCCAAGACGTTTTAGTCTGGGCGGTCATCAGGCGAAGAGCGGGGGGTGGGGGGGAGGGGGGAGGGGATTGTCCCCCCACCCCCCCTTCACCCCCCCCCCCCACCTTGATATTTGAACATTGCAATATAAATACATTAATGCGTTCATCATTCCGAGCGCCGGGATGTAGCTCGGGTGACTCGGGGCGCTGCGCTCGACGCCGTGAGGTTCGAATCAAGTCCTGGGTTGACTTGTCACTCGTTGTCGTTAGCAGCGTCATCATCATCAGTGTCATCATCAGTGTCATCATCAGTGTCATCATCATCAGTGTCATCATCAGTGTCATCATCAGTGTCATCATCAGTGTCATCATCATCATCAGTGTCATCATCAGTGTCATCATCAGCGTCATCATCGTTATCAGCGTCATCATCATTATCAGCGTCATCATCAGCGTCATCATCAGCGTCATCATCATCATCAGTGTCATCATCAGTGTCATCATCAGCGTCATCATCGTTATCAGCGTCATCATCATTATCAGCGTCATCATCAGCGTCATCATCAGCGTCATCATCATCATCAGTGTCATCATCATCATCAGTGTCATCATCATCATCAGTGTCATCATCATCATCAGTGTCATCATCATCATCAGCGTCATCATCATCATCATCAGTGTCATCATCAGCACAATCAGTGTCATCATCATCAGTGTCATCATCATCAGTGTCATCATCATCAGTGTCATCAGCACCATCAAATCTAGAACCATCATAAGCACCATCAGCGTCAGCATCATCATCAGCGTCATCATCAGCGTCATCATCAGCGTCATCATCAGCGTCATCATCAGCACCATCATCACCACCGCCAGCAACCAATCGGCACCGCCATCCCACCGTGCGTTTGCTCGCTCCGTCGGCCCAAACGAAGGCAACTTAACGCAACGGTTATCAGCAGGCGTTTGTTTGCGGTGATGTTTCACGGCGAAGAGATGCGCGCGCATCGGAGCGACGTGGAGACTTTCTGTCCCACCGCGCCGATGCTTCTCCCGCGCTTGCCGCTCTAAATGCGCGCGTCGTTGTAAACGCGACAGCGTCAGAGGCTGAAACAAACGCACGGTGTTTATTGTGAGTGGCGGGTGAGCGTGAGCGGATGACGGGGAGCTCTGCATGCTGATACGAGCTACCCGTCGGAGGCCGTCGGACTGCGAGAAGGGCTGCGTGCAGAACGAGAGTGAGCGAGAGAGCGAGCGAGAGAGTGAGCGAGAGAGTGAGCGAGAGAGTGAGCGAGAGAGTGAGCGAGAGAGCGAGCGAGAGAGTGAGCGAGAAAGTGAGCGAGAAAGTGAGCTAGAGAGTGAGCGAGAGAGTGAGCGAGAGAGTGAGCGAGAGAGTGAGCGAGAAAGTGAGCGAGAAAGTAAGCGAGAAAGTAAGCGAGAAAGTGAGCGAGAAAGTGAGCGAGAAAGTGAGCGAGAGAGCGAGCGAGAGAGTGAGCGAGAAAGTGAGCGAGAAAGTGAGCTAGAGAGTGAGCGAGAGAGCGAGCGAGAGAGTGACCGAGAGAGTGAGCGAGAGAGCGACCGAGAGAGCGAGCGAGAGAGCGAGCGAGAGAGCGAGCGAGAGAGCGAGCGAGAGAGCGAGCGAGAGAGCGAGCGAGAGAGCGATCGAGAGAGTGAGCGAGAGAGCGACTGAGAGAGAGTGAGCGAGAGAGTGAGCGAGAGAGTGAGCGAGAGACCGAGAGAGCGACCGAGAGAGCGAGCGAGAGAGCGAGCGAGAGAGCGAGCGAGAGAGCGAGCGAGAGAGCGAGCGAGAGAGCGAGCGAGAGAGCGAGAGAGCGAGCGAGAGAGCGAGCGAGAGAGTAAAGTAAAAAAATACGAAAAGATGAACGAAGCAAAGTGCCGACTACACCGAGCATCTTCTTGTTTCCACTGATCGTAAAAAAAAGAGGGAGGGAGGGAGGGAGAGTGGCGTTTTCCTCGCAAGTCTCTGTAAGCGGCGCTCACCGCAAGGCCTCTGTCAGTGGCACCAGCGTCTGTCGGGGCGAAAGCCTCCTCCACCATGTCCACCCCCTTCTCTCTCACCTCTGTCCACCTCACCGCGTGCTCCTCACCCCCTCACCGTGTGGGAACGGAAGAGCCCTCACGGCTCATCGGATTCCTCCGCTGTGAACAAAGTTTCAGATTTGATTCACGTTCGCTTCTCCAGTGGAGAGTGTCCATCCTCCCCCCCCGTCCACCCCCTCTCTCTCTCCCCTCTGCGTGCGTATGTTTGCCGTACCTGTATGTCTGTTGTGCACACGTGTTTGCACACGTGTTTGTACGCATGTCAGAGGTCGCAAACGGGTTTTGATTCCTTACCCATACCCGTACCCGGCCGCACCAGGGTCGCAAACGGGTACCCGTACCCGTACCCGTCTGGGTACGGGTAGCCGGGTATCGGGTAGGCTACGGGTATCGGGTACCCGATTGCGACCTCTGGGATGAAGCCATGTTGCAGGCGCGGGTGAGTTGATTCTAGGAACTTGAATTGTGAGAAGAGACAAGACGTTGGGAAATGAGTGACAAACGGTGACTCGCCAGTGACTCACGGCCTACCCGTACCCGGCCGCACCAGGGTCGCAAACGGCTACCCGTACCCGTCTGGGTACGGGTAGCCGGGTATCGGGTAGGGTACGGGTATCGGGTACCCGGTTGCGACCTCTGGGATGAAGCCATGTTGCAGGCGCGGGTGGGTTGATTCTAGGAACTTGAATTGTGAGAAGAGACAAGACGTTGGGAAATGAGTGACAAACGGTGACTCGCCAGTGACTCACGGCCTACCCGTACCCGTACCCGGCCGCACCAGGGTCGCAAACGGCTACCCGTACCTGGCCGGGTACGGGTAGCCGGGTATCGGGTAGGGTACGGGTATCGGGTACCCGGTTGCGACCTCTGACGTTTGTGTCATTGTTGCACGGTACGCATGATGAACTTCTTTTGCACCCTACGTAGCCGGCCGCGCTCACCAGAGGTGCGCTGCCAAGGCGCAGGAAACTGAAAACACGACAAAAACACAACTCTGATGATGTATGCACTGTCCTTGAAGTTGATTGGTCCACACCCGAGACAGCTTTCCTTAGAGCCTAGTCTCACATGGTGTTGGACCAGATGACGCCAAAAGGCGCACAACTCAAAGACAATGCACCATCAGAGTACGAGAGCTCGGGGTAAGCATTTACACCATTGCAACCTCATTTGCCAGTAAAAAATATATGATAATTGTTTTTTTACCCTTCTATCTGGCAACAAAACTGACACCTTCGGCTCTAAGGAAAGCTGTCTCGGGTGTGGACCAATCAACTTCAAGGACAGTGCATACATTATCAGAGTTGTGTTTTTTGTTTGCATTATGACTGCAGGTATTGTGGTCAATGCAAACATGACTCCTTGTAAAAAGGTGTCAGTTTTGTTGCCAGATAGAAGGGTAAAAAACAATTATCAAGATGAACAGGAATAGCGTGATGATGCTTTATAAAGACGACGATTTACGCTCCTTGACGCGACCAGCGAGCTCCCTTCACCCGCCGGCTACCGTTCGTCCCACCGTCAGCCACCTCGCCTCACCGCGTGTTCCTCACCCCACCCGCCCCCCCCACCCTCCCCCTCACCGGGTGAGCAGGCGCGGCAGCTCCCGGCGTGCCGATCGAGCCGTCGGAAGGACCCCACGGGAGGAGTGGCGGCTCACTGAGGACGGGGGACCCGTGCCTGGCACTCTACTGGGAGGACAACAAGGTTAGTGCCGATTTAAAGCTTCTTTCGTGACTGCAGGGATTCATCTTCTTGGTTCTTTCGGTAAAGTCACGTAGAAGGGAAGTAATAAAATAATAAAAATAAAACATAATTAAATAATTCTCACGACGTTTCGGCCACTCACACAGAGACCCACACACTCACACAGAAACCCATAGACTCACACAAAGACCCATAGACTCACACAAAGACCCATAGACTCACATAGAGACCCATAGACTCATACAGAGACCCACACACTCACACAGAGACCCACACACTCACACAGAGACCCATAGACTCACACAGAGACCCACATACTCACACAGAGACCCATAGACTCACACAAAGACCCATAGACTCACATAGAGACCCATAGACTCACACAGAGACCCACACACTCACACAGAGACCCATAGACTCACACAAAGACCCATAGACTCACATAGAGACCCATAGACTCACACAGAGACCCACATACTCACACAGAGAACCATAGACTCACACAAAGACCCATAGACTCACACAAAGACCCATAGACTCACATAGAGACCCATAGACTCATACAGAGACCCACACACTCACACAGAGACCCACACACTCACACAGAGACCCATAGACTCACACAGAGACCCACATACTCACACAGAGACCCATAGACTCACACAAAGACCCATAGACTCACATAGAGACCCATAGACTCACACAGAGACCCACACACTCACACAGAGACCCATAGACTCACACAAAGACCCATAGACTCACATAGAGACCCATAGACTCACACAGAGACCCACATACTCACACAGAGAACCATAGACTCACACAAAGACCCATAGACTCACACAAAGACCCATAGACTCACATAGAGACCCATAGACTCATACAGAGACCCACACACTCACACAGAGACCCACACACTCACACAGAGACCCATAGACTCACACAGAGACCCACATACTCACACAGAGACCCACAGACTCACACAGAGACCCACAGACTCACACAGAGAACCATAGACTCACACAGAGACCCACATACTCACACAGAGACCCACAGACTCACACAGAGAACCATAGACTCACACAGAGACCCACATACTCACACAGAGACCCACAGACTCACACAGAGACCCACAGACTCACACAGAGAACCATAGACTCACACGGAGACCCATAGACTCACACGGAGACCCATAGACTCACACGGAGACCCATAGACTCACACAGAGACCCACAGACTCACACAGAGACCCATAGACTCATACAGAGACCCACAGACTCACACAGAGACCCGTAGACTCACACAGAGACCCATAGACTCACACAGAGACCCACATACTCACACAGAGACCCACACACTCACACAGAGACCCACAGTCTCACACAGAGACCCACAGACTCACACAGAGACCCATGGACTCACACAGAGACCCACAGACTCACACAGAGACCCATAGACTCACACAGAGACCCATAGACTCACACAGAGACCCATAGACTCACACAGAGACCCATAGACTCACACAGAGACCCACAGACTCACACAGAGACCCGTAGACTCACATAGAGACCCATAGACTCACACAGAGACCCACATACTCACACAGAGAACCATAGACTCACACAAAGACCCATAGACTCACACAAAGACCCATAGACTCACATAAAGACCCATAGACTCATACAGAGACCCACACACTCACACAGAGACCCACACACTCACACAGAGACCCATAGACTCACACAAAGACCCATAGACTCACATAGAGACCCACAGACTCACACAGAGACCCACAGACTCACACAGAGAACCATAGACTCACACAGAGACCCACATACTCACACAGAGACCCACACACTCACACAGAGACCCACAGTCTCACACAGAGACCCACAGACTCACACAGAGACCCATAGACTCACACAGAGACCCACAGACTCACACAGAGACCCATAGACGCACACGGAGACCCATAGACTCACACGGAGACCCATAGACTCACACAGAGACCCACAGACTCACACAGAGACCCGTAGACTCACACAGAGACCCATAGACTCACATAGAGACCCATAGACGCACACAGAGACCCACAGACTCGCACAGAGACCCACAGACTCGCACAGAGACCCACAGACTCACACAGACTGACAGAGAGACCCACAGACTCACACAGAGACCCACAGACTCACACAGAGACCCACAGACTCACACAGAGACCCATAGACTCACACAGCGACCCATAGACTCACACAGACTCACAGACTCACGCAGAGACCCGTAGACTCACACAGAGACCCACAGACTCACATAGAGACCCACAGACTCGCACAGAGACCCACATACTCACACAGAGACACCACAGACTGCCCCCGCACCTCCAATCGGCACAGTTGGGGCTAAGTACGGTGCAAAAGAAGTTCAACGTCATCACTCTGACCTCGGATGTATAGGCAAGGGGGGTGGAAGTGCCGGAAATATTTTCCCCGACCAATTATAACCAGGCACGGGGGAACTCCGCGGAGTAGTGTGACATTTCGCGGGCAACTTGTAAAGACAGCGACCACGTTGTTAATGAGACGCTAACATACGGAGGGGGGCGACAGGGATGACAACGTTGACTGATTGAACGGGTTAGACGCGTGAGTGCTCGTAGTGTGTGAATGTTGCGTCGTTAAACCCGCCACCATCCGGAGAATGGTGTGAGGGTCCATGTTCTTAGGTTTTTTCGGTAAAGTGACGTAGGTAAAAAATTTAATTAATAAAATAAAATAAAAATCACGACGTTTCGGAGGTAATACAAGCTTCCGTATTCTTAGGTTTTTTCGGTAAAGTCACGTAGGTAAAAATTTAAAATCAATAAAATAAAAATAAAATAAAAATCACGACGTTTCGGAGGCAACACAAGCTTCCGTATTCTTAGGTTTTTTCGGTAAAGTCACGTAGGTAAAAATTTAAAATCAATAAAATAAAAATAAAATAAAAATCACGACGTTTCGGAGGCAGCACAAGCTTCCGTATTCTTAGGTTTTTTCGGTAAAGTCACGTAGGTAAAAATTTAAAATCAATAAAATAAAAATAAAATAAAAATCACGACGTTTCGGAGGCAACACAAGCTTCCGTCTTCAGGTGGAACCGTCACAGCCACAACAGCTGTATCAAGTGAGAGGAATTCCAAGAACACAGTATTTGTATATATACTGGTTGAGGGTGTGAGGAGCCAAGGTAGGCCCTGGATATTATTTTTGTGAGGTTCGGTGCGGCTGAAGCACGCTTATTTTAGTAGTAGTAGGTTTTTACCCTTTTAAACTGGTACAAAACTGACACCTTTATACAAGGCATCATGTTTAAAGGGTAAAAACCTACTACTATATTTTGTCACTGATAAAGGAGGTCTCATAGTGTAAACACTTATTTTATTTTACTTTTATTAATTTTAATTTTTTTACCTACGTGACTTCACCGAAAAAAACTAAGAATACGGAAGCTTGTGTTGCCCCCGATACGTCGTTATTTTTATTTTATTTTTATTTTACTTTTATTAATTTTAATTTTTTTACCTACGTGACTTTACCGAACAAAACCTAACAATATGAATCCTTGCAGTCACGAAAGCTTCAAATCTAGAAGGTGTGAGTGTCCGTCGCAATTTTGATGTGAAGCTTTTCGTGACCGCATGAAACCACGCTCGTTGGTTTCCCTCAAGTCACGTGAGTGGAAAGTTAATAGATTAATGGATCACGACGTTTCGATGGCAGCACGAAGCTTTTGTGTCGCGATCGGAACGCGGTGATCAATTGATTTTCTGTCTCCGTGACTTTGCCGAAAGAAGCGGAGAGCGTGGTTTGGTTTGTCGCGTCGACGAAATGCGCCGCTTGGCTACCAGTTCAGCATCGCCGGTGGCGTGTCGGAGAGTAAACCCCGCGAACAACCGCCACAACCACAACAACAACCGCCACCACAACAACAACAACAACCGCCACCACATCAACAACAACAACAACCGCCACAGCAACAACAACAACCGCCACCACCACAGCAACAACAACAACCGCCACAACAACAACCGCCACCACAACAACATCAACAACCGCCACCACCACAACACCAACAACAACCGCCATTACCACAACAACAACAACCGCCACCACCACAACAACAACCGCCACCACAACAACAACAACAACCGCCACCACCACAACACCAACAACAACCGCCACCACCACAACAACAACAACAACCGCCACCACCACAACACCAACAACAACCGCCACCACCACAACAACAACCACCACCACACCAACAACCGCCACAACAACAACAACAGCCACAACAACAACAGCCACAACAACAACAACCTCCACAACAACAACCGCCACCACAACAACAACCGCCACCACAACAACAACCGCCACCACAACAACAACAACCACCACCACCACAACAACACCCGAATCAGTCGAGCGGCAATATCTTTTCATCGGTTGCGTAACGCTGTGTGGAAGCTACCTGGTCTGTCGCTCCGCACGAAGCTTCAGGTCTTCTCGGCCACGGTCATTCCCTCCCTTCTCTACGCTTGCGAAACGTGGACCCCCCTAATGGAGCATCTTCGCCCGGTTAGAAACATTTAGGCTGGCCTGCCTACGATCAATCCTGGGTTTAACCAGGTAGGATTGTGTGAGGAGCTCACAAATCCTTGAAAGATCTGGGCAAAGTCCCATCGGTGAGCTCCTCCGGCAGGCAAGGCTGCGTTGGCTGGGTCATGTGTGAGTAGCTTATAAATACCACCCCCTCGTGTACCGTGCCAGCCTTCATAGGTGCTCGCTAACAGCTAGACTTACTGTATCAAGTGAATCTAGCTGTGACGGTCCCACCTGATGACGGAGACTTGTGTTGCCTCCGAAACGTCGTGATTTTTAATTGTATTTCTATAATTTCCATTATTTTTATTTTATTATTTTTTACCTACGTTACTTTACCGAAAAAAACCTAAGAGGATG